TTTTTCCTTTTTCCTTTTTCCTTTTTCCTTTTTCCTTTTTCCTTTTTTTGTAGTAAGCACATTGAGGGCTAACCTTCAGATTTTGTAACCTGAATATGAGCATAAAAGTTTCAAGGGTATGAGTTCATTATATTCCTGAGAATTGTCACTTGGAATGATTGTAAAGGTTAACTGTTTGAGTATGCAGCATGCACTAAGTGGAACCAATCTACTTTCTACTGATAATTCTCTCTGCTTTTGATTCTAGAAATCTGTGCAGTGGTCTCTGCCTTACATTGTATTTGGAGCAACTGGTTTATTGTCTGGGCTCTTAAGTTTATTGTTGCCTGAAACCTTGAACAGCCCTCTGCTAGAAACTATTTCAGACCTACAGATATGCTCATACTGGAGACTGGGGGATGAAGCCATGTCACTGCAAACCCTAGATGGCTCGCAGGTATTTTATTATTAATAATTCTTTTCCCTAGCATTTCAACTTTCAGCCTGCACGTCCCACTCTGAATGCTCTAGGATAGTAATTTTTGGCCTGTGGAGAATAGGTCCTAAGGAGATGCTTAAGATAGTTCAGTAACCTTACTATCCCATCTGAATTGTTCCATGGAAATACAGGCTGAAACATAACTGGGTTAATTTATCCCTTTGGGACCGAAAGCATGGACTTTTTGGGGGGCTGGATGAAGGACTTGACTCTTAAGACAGATTGCTATGATATGCTTCATATACAGCTGGCCATTGACATTTCTGAGAAGTGGTAGATGTTAAGGAAAATTCTTGCTAGCAAAACAAGTCTATCATATGAATCTCAGAATTGCACAGAATCATAGGGGTTGGAAGGGACCTCCAGAAATCATCGAGTCCAACCGTATATTGATGTCAAGTTTGTACCAGCTGTTATTTTGGTAATTACATTATTATTGCATCTTAACCTAGATGGCTTACTAACAGAAAGTGATTCTAGCAAGCAGTACAGTTGTTTTAATTTAGAGGAGGGGAAAAACATCATTTTTTTTCCTGCTAGCCTAATAAGGTCAGTATCACCATTTGGGGGTGATGTACATCTATGAATATGCATGCAACTGGATTCACTTTCAAAACAGTCTTCTAAAGATTAAGTTTTCTGTCCTTGCATTTCTTCAGGCCTTCTAAAAATCTTGAACAAGATTATTTATTGTCATTTATATATATATATGTATATATAAAATAAATATAAACATAAAAATTATCTATATTTTATATATATATATATATATATATATAGTTTTATACGAAGAAAGTGCTGTTAAAATGGGAAGCTGTAAAACATTAACCCTATTTGACAAGGCCACAGTGAGGTCTGTGAAGCTGTTATTAGGAAGTGATAGAGTTTATTTGGCATATCCTGAATTTCCCCTGTGGAATCCGCTGTCCTTTTGTACCACTTTAAGGATAACATGCATTCTAGATGCCCAGAGCGGAGGTTTTGTCCCTGTTAACGTACACAAACGTGATATTCAAGTTGGGTGGCATCCAGCGATAGTCTGATTCTCCTCAAATCATTTTAGAAATAAAAAAGAAGCATAACCTGATTCCCTTTATATCTTCTGACAGTTTCTAGTCCTCAAACTGTTTGAAATTCTTTTGCAGTTACACACATTGCCATAGCAAAACTCCACTGAAGACAGATCTAAAGCTACAGATTTTGCTTGTGTGGTTCTGTCAGTCAGGAGTATGATTTCCATTTCTGTTTTTCACCTTCTTTCTCACCCTGCTTTGCATATGATTAGTCAGCCAGAAGTCTTAGAATAGATGTAAGCATAGTGGAAAAAATCCTAAATATTCATTTAAATTAAATGGAGAATGCTAGCAGTAGACTAATCATTACTTGGATAATCCATACTGGTTCAGTGGAAAATGCCACACCAGCAAAATAAAAATCAGTTAATTATAATAGTTGATTTTAGTTTGGGTATGTGATATGAATTATGCTATTGAAAGGACTCCAGCTGGTGTAAATATGCCTGTCAGAGTTTATTTTCTGCCCATACAAACCCGTAATGTTTTTCCTTTTCCATAACACCTTTGTTTAGTATCAGAGTGGGACCTTTTTAAATTTAACTTGCATAGAAAAATGCCCATGATACACATGAAGAAGTAATAATTCAGAATGCAGAAACCTTTACCTGATCAAATGATCTTTGTGTTCTGAAGCTCTGTCTCCAGTTGCTTGCAGGAGAGTAGAGTCCTTAGGCTTAAATGAAGAAAGCTGAGTAGACTACCACTTCAGAACCATCCTAGCCATTTTCTCTTATGCATGGATTTTCTGTGGTATACTGATAGAGCCAGGAAAGTCCATCCAGTATAAGCCAACTCTTTCCAAGAGATTTTGAAGAATTAAAAGTACAAACAAATGTAGATTCACAAAGCGTTAACAGTGTTTTGACTTGTCTTTTCTCTACCAACCTTCTAATAGAGTTATAGTGCTTTGTGTTCATTTATTTTCAGATTTTTTTGATGGCTTCTTTGTTAACCAATTGCTTCATTTTTCTTTCTAGTCTGGAGACAAGGACAATTCTGCAGGAAGTGGAAGTGAAGATGAGGAATTCTATGATGCTAACGAAGAGACCCATATGATCAAGTAATGAAGAGAAGAAACACAGACTTGTTCTCTTTTTTTTTTTTTCTTCCTTGTCCAGTCAGTCCAGCTCAGAGATGAGAGTACTGGAAACCACCTATCAGGGAATGTAATTGGGCAAGTGCCTGTGTCTTTCCTGAGTAGGAAGGGAGTTTAAATACTGTTGAGATTAATTACACCACTGTTTCTTTTCATGTGAGACAGCCATTCAAATACTTGTGGGTAGGAATGAGAGAATGCACAGACTACATTTGAATGATAGCAAGGGAAGGATAATGCATTTCTGAAACAGAAAATTATCAACTATTTGTGCAGATCATCGGTGCTTTTGTATATTCAGAGGGTTGGTTTTGAGTCATCCTAAACTGATGAACTTGAAAATGTTCACTTTTTTGTTTTTTGTGGAATGAAAGTGATTGCACAGTATTTTGTGTGCTACCCCAGGAGGAACGAACTTATGAAATTGTATGTTAAAATGGCTTTTACATATTGAGTGGGGGAGAGGCAACTATGAACATAAGGTTTTTCCTTCAGGCATGTGGACACCTGTGTAGAATTACAAGGTACAACTGATCAGTTCATGGCCTATCCATGAACTTTGTGATGATGAAAGGCTGGGAAGAGTCCATAACATCTGTAGATATAGAGGATGTTGCTGATTTCTCTCTCCTCTATCCACCAAACATTCTCTTGGTCTGCCTTATGCATAGATTTGCCACATTTCCCACATCTCAGAACTGCTGTTTGTAGCTTTGCCTACTTCTACTTTGTCTTCACTTTTCTATAAATATTAAAGCTTAGCAACTTCTCTGCCTGTGCAGTGAAGTAACTCTGTTTAAGGATGTAATTTCATAAGTAGCACACAGGTGAGGTCTTTATCGCATACTGTGTAAGGTGAAGTGTGTTTTTAGGGTATTTAGCTCATTTCTATGGACCTATCTGCATCTTCATTTATGGAAGAAATGTAAGCATTAAGTGACAAGAGGAGCCATGGGCTGCTGTTACATTTTGTAGGATTATTGCAGAAAGCTGCTAATATCTGTTTAAAATTCTTTTGCTCTTAAACTCTTTAAGCCAGTGTTTACTGGATTACTTGACCTTGTTGAGGAAGACAGCTTCATTCTTTAGTTTACACTACACTTTGTTTAGTTAGAAGGATACAAAAATCTTGAAGTATGAGCAAGTGCAATGTTGTGACTAAAAAATAAGGCCTTAGGAAGATTCAACTTTTATCCTCTAACTACTTGCTTGCTATTTATTAAGATTGATTTCCATGAGTTGTTTGCTAGTTTTTATATTTGAGGTCACTAACAAAGTGAAAAGAGCTGTTGACCTTGTGAGACATTTTTTTATGTGAATAGTAGATTTAGAAAATGGAATTTAAAAAAAAAAAAAAAAAAAGAGTTGTCAGCTGAACTTATTCCAGTTAAACTGGGAAGTTCGTTTACTCTGAAATGAAGTGAAACTGAACAATATCTGAAGTTTACAGCTAGCTGCTTGATCTTTGTTCATTGGAACTGTAGCACTGAGGAAAATCTAACTACCCTGCTTGGTGCAGCAGGCAGCCCAGAGGCTACAGAGTGCAGCATGTAGTACTCCAACTTGATCTGAATTTGATTCACACATTGGCTGTGAGTACAGTAGGGAACTTCAATCCCTGTGGAAAAAGTGTCTTCAGTTTTTCTTCCAGACTGCTGCATCATTGTTGTAGCAAGGGCATTTTCATCTTGGCTGGATATTTTTTCTGCCTATATTTGGCCCTTATGCCTGGTTGAAAATTTCTCTGAATAAGGTACTTGGAAAAGCATGGAATGTTGAGTATATTTATTCAAAGATATTTTTAGTTCTGTATTCACATTTTGAATTATGGATAGTTGGAAAAGCATCAGGTTTGGTTTCGTTGTTGATGACTTTTGAAGACATAAAGCCCGCTTGCTTGAAAGCAAACAGTGGTAAGCCTGGCATTATTTGCATGCTGTCAAGATCCAGCACATTTTTTAGCTGCTTATTTTCCTCTCTTATATGGTATGTAGAGTAAGTTTCCCTGAGAGGCAGACAGGAACTGTTAGCCATTCTTTGTCCATAGTTTGTGTGTCATCTGCTACTGGCAACACAGGACGTCATGCCCACACAGTTCTCGGTAGGAAGAGTAAGATGTGACAGTTCAGATGGGGAGATTACTTTGCAGAGCCTGAGTTGAATATTTGTGGTTCTTTGATTTTAATCAGTCTTCAGCTTGTTATCAAACTTACTTCTCCATTCATGCACTTTTGTATTGTAAGTATAGATGTAGAAAATTCAAAAACGAGAGTGAAGAAAGTGTATTTTTTGTTTGATAAGTTACTGTACTTTATTTTAGAAATATAGGAATACTTTGTTTCAGCTGAAGGATGGAGTACTGATTCTCTTTCCCACTCTTAGAGCTGCCTCTAATCATGCTCTCTGACATATAGTGTATCTAGGCATCTGTGCAATTTGTGAGCATGGTGGTAAATATGTCTGAAGAGCTCATGAGAGCAGTACTGTTATTTGATGGTAGAAGTCAGTCTGGCCTGATATACTCAACACCTGTGTCAGGAATGTCTATATGCAGCTGTTTACCAAACAGGACAGTTATTTTGAGTCTCACAGCTCCTATTTTGTTGCAAGATGTATTAAGTGAATGAAAGACCTGTGTAAGAAAACTTGTGACATCTGAGCATAGAATTGGAGTGTGAACAAGTTTATACAGAATTTTCCATGCCATGTCTTTTTAATGCCTTGTCCAGTCTATGTTAATCTTAACCAGATTATCCAGGTGCTACAGTTATTTCTGTCTAATAGAGGTGTGCAGAATTTTCACCCTGACAGTCTGAATTTACTGAACTTTCTCATCTTATTTTGGTACTACTAGCTCCTGTCATCCTGGAAAAAAAGCTCTTGTGTTGCCTAATGGAGAGTAGATTTTTATTCTGCTCTAATTGATTGTAAGTGCCTGTATTATGAAAGGCTTTTTAATTTCCTCAATCAACTTGATATGGGACTGTGTGTAAAGTAACATCATAGAACTGAATGATGTATGTGCCAAAGACTGCTTTTGCTGGAAAGCAATGGTCCAATACTGGTTCTAGCTGCATTCATTTGGAATTCCTCCATGCAGCCTGCCAAAACTGGTGCATACAAGCATCTCCAGAGCGTTAGGGGATGGAAAGTTACCTTTGCTTGTCTTTCCTTTTTCAGTTCACTTAAATATTTTGTGTTTTCTGAAAGGAGAAAGTGTAGGATTTGTAGAAGAGCTGAGTATGCACCTCTTGTCAATTAGAGAAATCTGCAGAGCCTGTTTGCTTCTGCCAAAGCTTACTCTCAAAGACTGATAAAATCTGGTTTAAAAACTGCACACTGGAATTGTAGTTCAGCCATCAGCCTTACAAATTAGCACTGCCAGTAATGGCTTGCCTCAAGCATTGTAGGATATAGCAGATTTTTATAAAAGGTGCAGTTTGAGGCATTACTAAATAGTAATTTCTGTAGTTCAACTCCCTACTACAACTACAAAATTCAGTGCTAGTCAGCTCTATCGTGTCAGTTTGATTTCCCAGCAAATGGGCAAGTGTCTAAATGTTTGTGCAGCAGGAGGTGGATGCCATCAGAAGAGTGGTTTAGAGGAAGTAATCTGCATTCTCCGCTGCATATGCAGAATGAAATAAGGCTGTGATGTGTCAGGATCTTCTCTTATGTAGTAAGCTCATGGAAGTACATTTAAACAGTTTAAACAGAAGCTCATAGGAGTACATTTAAACAATTGCCTGCCCATCTTCAATTATAAAAGCCTTTAGAGAATGATGATCTTTTACATGCAAGTTAATGCTCGCCAACACATCTGAGATGCTTGTATTACACTCGCTGCAGCAGGTAGGCAAGAAAATGTGGCAATAAGAACATCTTTGCCTATACTGGGACAGTTAACTTTTTCTGAAAGATATCCCAGGAGAAGTATCTAGTACATCCATGTTCAAACAAAATATTTTAAAATGATGGAAACTTGACTGGGAAACAGACGTTTCTGATAGCAGCTTGCAGGGGAAAAAAATCATTGTTTCAAACTGGTTAAAAGCTTTCTAATATAGAACTGCTGAGTGGTTTGTAGTAAAAGAGTTTATTGCACTTCTGTGATGTCAAGTATGACTCCAAATGACAGTTTTTCAGTACTAGACTCACCTCACTCCCCAAAGTTTAATCCAGTTCTCCATCTGTTCTTGTTAAAAATATGAAGGTCTTTTAGCAACCAGGAATATATTTTTCATATGGATATATTTGTTGCACTACTTTCCTTCTTGAATCTAATTTTACTTCCATTTTTTAAGCTACTACCTCCTTAAGTTGAGCTTTTTTGTCACTTCTGTATTTAATAGAATTTTAGATAATATAAAATATTTCCATTTTTTTTAATTTATGTAGTAATCCATGATTTAAACAGAAGGAAGACTTGTGCTTTTAAAAGTTTTATTTAAAGGCTTTTCAAAATTAGCTTAAAATGCTTATGCTTTTGGAGGACCAGAGTTATTGCACCTTTTAGAATCTGGGTTCTCTTGTTTGCACTGTTGTTAAGGGCAAAAAATTAAGGGCAAGAAACTTTTATTTTTGTGCTAATCTCCATTGAGGGGATAACTTGAGGGGAAGGAAGTTTTGAGTTGGGAAATTTAACTTATTGCCAATTAAAGAGCTTCTATTTATTGCTGTTGGTATTGAGGCAGAGAAAAACAAATGGGGAGAGACGCTGCTTCTCTTTGGATGCTCTTCCATTGCCATCTTGGTGGTCTCCTGTCCCTTGGTTGGATATTACTCTTAGTTCCTTCAGCAAGGCAACAAGTACCTCGGGAGATTGGGATCAGCACATCGTACTTGCTGTCATACTTGCTCCTTATTTCTTTCTCTGCTGCTCTACTGTGGGTTTCCTCACTGGATTCAGTGCCCTTTAGAGCTGCATCTCCTTCTACGTCTCATCCTCTCAGCCCCTGCTTTGGCTACAGTTCTTTTTTGGTGTTTCTTCTACCCTGCTGTCACCCCTCTCCCATCCTGTGCTGGCATAGTCTTCTCTTATTTTTTTTTTTCCTCCTCCTTCTATAAATATTGTCTTTTTCTCTTAAATATGCTTTTAAATATTTTAGATGTGCCACAACCTCCTCTGATTGTCTGGAGCATTGGGATGAAATGGGTCAGTGCCTAGTGTCCAAAATAGGCAATGGGCCCAAACTGAAAGACATGTGGATCTGCCTAAGCATAGAGAAACACTTTTTTTTTTTTTTTTTTTTTTTTTTACTGCTAGGATAACCTATCACTGCCACAGATTGACAGAGAGGTTATGGAGTTGTTGGCAGTGTTCAAAAGCCATCAAGACAAGGTCCAGGGCAACCAGCTGTATGGGACCCTAGATGACCTCCACTACCAAAACTCTTGACAGGTGTGCCTAATACATGACTCCACAATGCTTTCTTTCAGATCGAGTCCTTAAAGGGCTGACAGTTACTACGAGCAAAACTTGGCACCATATTCCTTTTGTGTTTCTATCGTCTTAGGTCAAATAAATGAAACTCCTTAGGATATAAGCAGACATTTATAGCCAAGTTCTGTGTCTGGTTACATGTTTGTATTCTTACTGATTTCAGAAGACAGATCTTAGATTTCCACTTGACCAGAAGAACAGCCAAAGGGGTAAGCTTCCTTCTCTCTGCTTAAGCCTTCATCATCATGAAATCAAATCTTTCTACAGTCTCTGTATCTTGTAGACGTAAAGTCCTGGTTAGCCCAGAGGTGAGTAACAGAAAAGAGGCAGTACAGGGAATCGATTTTTGTTTGCAGCAGTGAATCAAATTGTATATAGGTGGTGTGCATATTTTTAAATATTTTTTTGGGGGGGACTTGAATACTGACTGTTACGAGCCTTCCAGCATTAAAACACAGACTGATAAATGTCAGAGTACTTCTTTAGTTGTATCCGTGCGCTGTTGTTAAATCAAAGTTGTACTGATGAGAAGTCTCTGTTTAGAATACTTGATCTGAGAAGCCACAGTTAAGGCATCATGAGCTTTTCCATAACAGACCTTGTATGGGGTTATGTCCATGCATTCTGTGAGCAGTTGTTGGGTCCATCTCTTTTTAAACTGTTCTTTCCTGTAAGCAAGGGACCATAGCAACAAGTGTAGAAATATTCAGAGTAATTGCACTTACCTGTTTTGTTTTCTTAATGTATTTCCTATGCATACTGCCTTACCCATACGTACTGTGCTTCACTGGTGGTACTAAGGGTAAATATCAGGTTTTTAATTTATAATATATAACATGATTTTTTTAAAAAATAATAATAATTCTGTAACATTAGGTATTTATTTCAAGACAGAGGAAGAGATGTTGCTAAGCCCAGGTGAATTTAATCAAAAGTTAATATTGGTGGTCTTTATTCTCAGTTAATTTCTGAACGGTTTTGATCATTTGAAATAAATACAATATTTTAAGATTTTTTTTGTAGAGGAAAGCTCACTTTCAGGTGACTAGTAACAGCTCTGATACTGCCTCTGACACGTGTACCTTCATATAACGTCTTTGTAACTTATTTTGTGCCTTTTCTCCCCCGACACAAAAAATCTCTCAATAAAAACAAACTCTTTTGGAACACTGTAAACCTATTTTATTGTACTGATTTTATTTGCCTGACCCTTTTGTTTTCTGGAGGGCACTGAAGCTATCTCATAATAGAACGGGCATTTATAACGGATGCCGCAGAAGAAAATTGACAAGGTGGAAAGCAGGTCAGTTTGGAATGGCAGTGCTACAAAGCGCCTGGGAAACTGGGACTGTCAGTACTAATCAATATATTCCACCATATCTATCACAAATCATTTCTAACAAAAACGGGCAGCAGTGGAATGTGAGAATCAATTTACTACCGGCTTCAGTTGGTGCTGATTGATGTTGAAAGACTGGAAACACTTTGGGGCTTTAGCATAACGAAGTATCTGTTGTTGTTGCTACTAACACTTGTGTTGGTAGAATAGACAAAAACACTGATTGGCATTTACACCTCTTTCTTCAAAGTGCTGTGCAAACACACAGAACTGTAGACTTTATCTTCGGGGGTTCTGCTTAAACGCTTTGGCAAGGAATAGCAGAATCTGAATGTTTGTTTTCATTACCTGAAAGAGAGGTGATAAATAGCCTAACTACCTTTCTCTCCTGTATCCAGTGATAGTTATTCTCTGAATCCGAATAAATGGGAGCAGTGCTCTGTTTTAAAGAGCCGGTTAACAGAGCTTTCATATATTTGTATATTCCTTGTGAATTTAAACATTCTCCTTAAATATCTAACGGCTTGAGCAGATGCCAGAGCACTTCATATATGTCAGTACTTTAAGGTATATATGCTAAAGAAAACAAATGGTCTTGCATGATAGATAACATACCAGATCTTCTGTTATGTTACATTTTACTCTTCCTCAAAGTGGAACTAAGAACAACGATCCAACCAGATTCCCTGGTCACTCTTGAGGGCACAGGCCACTGCAAAAGTATTCTTTGCTCTTGTATTCCTTACTGTAAAAACAGAAACATAGACCACACACAATTTAGAAGTCCCTGAAGCATTAAACAAATGCAAGACTTTTGAACTTCAAATGCTGTCATCAGCAGCCTTTCCAGAATGACTAATAACAATCCAGGAAGCATGCAACAGTATACAAAAACACTGCATGCTGTATTGTGTACTCATCAGTCTAAAGCTTCCAGGCAGGCTATATTTTGTTCTCGATATTCCCAATTCTTGTGAACTTTACTCTTTCCTTCTGGTACTTGAGATGCATAGGATTTTAGTTCTGTTTTTACTTTTGCTGCTGTTTTACCATGGAATCAATTGAAAACCCTGGTTTTCAGAGGTATCTAGTTGCATGCTCTGCTCATTTCTTTCCATAGCCTTTTGAATTTGTAGTTCCCTCTCAGATTTGTTTCAACTACATAAGCAGGGAGCCAGTGGCCTGAAGAATTTGGTCAGTTGTCATCTATGGAGTGCTTGTGTGAGCAGCTGTTGGTATTATTTACTTTCACACCAGCCCTTGGGCAGGGCAGATCACGCTGATGTACCTAGCCACACTGTGTTAAGTTGGAGTGCCACTAAATGCAGCTTTGCTCTCCTGCCCATTGTATGGGAACTGGCCATTTCTTGCTCTAACTGGAGCCTGTTTGACTACCCAGCAGATGTATTGTGTTTTTTTGTTGAATCAAGATAAGGAAAAACAGGGTGAGACCAGGAAGAGGATGCAAATTACGTATGAGAGGGATTGTGGTTCACATGGCTGTTTTGGTTTTTTGGCTAACCTAAATGGCCTTTGCCTTGTTGCAACACTTTTGCTGTCCATAAATTTTCACAGTTGCGAGGGGACGACATCTCTGAATGTCATCAAGTGGGAGGGGTGGAATTAAAGTGCACTCTTTTGAAAGGAGGGACGTTTTGATGTGTGTCCTTAGCAATGAGAGCCAGTGTAAATTGTGGTGGCAGAAGTAAGCTTTGCCTACCAGCTACCAAGCAGCTATCAGGCAAAACACTCAGTCCTTCGAAGCACCAGGTTCATGTTTAAGTGAGGCGTTAACCACAGTAAACTTCTGCTGAATTGATGAGTTATTTCCTAGTATCACACTTGTGTGAAAAACTGAGCTCTGCCTTTTCCAGCATTGTCATCTTGCATCTTGTCGCTACGTAGGACAAGAGACAGGATGAACGTTTGTGGCCGAATTATCTGTCTTGATGAATAAGTCTCTAATTCTGCTCTGTTACTCAAGAGCATTTTCAATGAACAATCCTTGCTCCAGGGAGGAGGGGGAAATCTCAACTTATTTATCAAACTTGCTAACAGCATAGAATGCAATATCAAACTTGAAAAAGTGGTTCACACATGACTTATTCTTGCCATTACTTTTTTTTTTTTTTTTTTCTAATAAAGAAGACAAAGATTTCACTGATAAGATTTGCCTCATTTTGGGTATGGAGGATGTAATGTGCACCAGAAAAAAATCTCAGCCTTCCGTTTGATTTTAGTTTGTTAAGAGGTAGCTAGGATATGGCAATCCTGCAATCTGTTCTACAGCTGTAAGTGGGCAATTTTGTTCATTTCTATGCACTTTGTATAATCCATGCAGAGACTTGGCAAAGCTGCAATGAGGAATGTCATGAGGGCTTGTCACAGGGAAGGCTGACTGATCCATGCAGATGGGTTTTCTTGGAAGTTTGCAAGTTTAGAAACCATTTAAAATCTAGTTCAGCTTTATTTTGGTTCAGCTATGGATTGAGCCATAGACCAGATTCCAGTGCTCGCTGTCCTAATGTTTATTTTTGTTATTTAAGAGTGTTCTTAAGTAGCTCCTAGAGTCAGCATCCTGCAGTATCAGCATAGCCTGACTCATGATCCTTAAGTTATCTTTTAGCTGTGACAGTGCAAAATGACATCTTTGTTATGTCGTGATGGAGCTATCCTGTGGGTTTACCTAACATAAGAAGAGGAACAAACATAAGAAGTGTATAGGTGTTCTTGCTTGCACAAAACTACTGATAAAGGAAGTTGTTCAGCTTAGGGCAATGCTTCTTGACCAAGCACTACTTCTTCCATGATCTCCTGTGAGAATTTGTCACCTCATAATGCTTTTAGTAGCACTTTGGTTTGGTAGGACTCCTTTACCTCAGTTTTGCTTGGTGGGTGTACCAGATAGTAGGTTCTCCTTCTGCACAGATCGTAGCACAGCTGATAGTTAGTCCCTCTTCCCTAACTATAATCTTGATGTTCTCAACTCTGAGCTCAAGTAAAAGTAGAAGCTGTTAGAGAAAGTAAGTATTCTGCCTCCAGTTATGCTGGGGAGCCAAGTCAGGGCCAGCACAGTGCTCTCTTGTGTGACAAAAAGGCAATGGGCTTGTTTCTTCTGCATGCCTGAATTGTCCTTCATGAAGACCTGCCCTGCCAGCCTGAGCATGCAGCTCTAGGTGTACTTTTCACCGTGCTGGTTTCTGCTCTGCAGTCATCTTTATTTTCCTATTATAGTTAATCTGTCTCCTTGTATTTCACGTACTCGGCTTTTCCTCCAATTCTGAACTTGTATCAAGGCACCTCACCACTTGTCAAATGTCCTGGCCCATGGATATATTTGTGGTGGGTACCTTTTGTTTGTTCGTTCTTCAATAGCTGCAGTCATGTGTGCACTTACCCAGGCCTTGTTCTGTTTGTGTCAAATACTCTTTCCGGTCTACCTGGTATTCACTTTGAAATGTTTGATGAATAGCTTGTTAAAGGAAGTGGAGAAAAGCACTCAGAACTTTCTGCAAGTCCTGCCAGCACGCATTACCAGTGTGGTGAATAGAACAGAGCTTTCGAGCACTGCAGCTGAAATACCAGCTTTGGGTAAGTCAGTTTTCTGACCAAATTTGCTGCTTTCTTCAACTCTCTGCCCCCAGTCCCATCTAAAATTTGAGCTAATGTACTTATCCTGGAACATAGAATCGTTTGAGTTGAAAGGGACCTTTAATGGTCACCTCATCCAATTTTACTGTAATGAACAGGGACATCTACAACTAGGCCAGGTTGCTAAGAGCTCCATTTAGCCCAATGTCTGTAACCATGGGGCATTCACCACCTCTCTGGGCAACCTATTCTAGTGCTTTACTACTGTTATTGTAAAACACTTCTTCCAGTCTAAATCTCATCTGTTGAAAGCATTTCCCCTTGTTCTATCATCAAAGAGCCTGCTAAAGACTCCATCCTCTTCTTTCTTATAGCCTCCTTTAGGTACTGAAAGGCTGCTCTCAGGTTTCCCTAGAGCCTTCTCTTCTCCAGGCTGAACAGACCCAGCTCTCTCAGCTTGTCCTCATAGGAGTGGTGTCCCATCCCTTGAATCATTTTTGTGACCTTCCTCTGGACGTACTCCAACAGGTCTGTGTCTCTCTTGTGCTGAGGACTCCACATCTGGATGCAATACTCCAGGTGCAAGACCTTGCACTTGGATTTGTTGAACCTCTTGGGGTTCAGCTGGGCCCACTGATTGAGCCTGTGTAGGTCTCTCTGGATGGACCATGGCTTATGTTCAATCAGTATTTACTAATGATCCTTAATCAGGAGGGATTTGGGGCACCCCTACTGAAATTGGCATAAGGATGTTACAGAGGAATTGAGAATTCCTAGGACTTGAAATTTGAATACTCTAATCCTTGCGTAACATATAGAAGGGTAAACCATTGGGATAATGTGGCTTTTAGAAAAAATATGCACAAGAGTAGGATCAAGTATTTGCACTGTGGCCTTTTCTGAGGGTTGAACTGAGGGTCTCTTACATCCTCAAACTTTGGATTACAGCTGATGGCATTTGGTGTTGTTTGATAGAGTGGTGAAAGCAGTAGACATTCTCTGAACCTTTTAGAACGAGATCTCTCTTGTCCAGGTCCTGCTATCAGAGATGGAATGGTGCTTCCATAAACGCTTCTCTGCTTCCTCTTCCCTTCTGACCCAAACTCAGCATGGTGAAGAAGCAGCCCTTCCCTGCCTTCCCAGACAACTGATAGCTTTATTTATCTTGTTTTCCTTCCTAAACTTCACCTTCCCACACACATGTGTGTGCAATATCTTCTCTTCCCTCCAGGAAAAGCCCGAGGAGCAGAGATACACTTGCTCCTGGGTCTAACTAGTCAAGCAGCTTCCTCTGCACATTCCCAGTGCTTTTATTCCAGCATAGTTTCTCCTCCCCTAGTCCTGCTTTCCACGCTCTGAATTTGCATTTAACTAGTTCCAGCCCTAAACATCTACCCTGTGCCCTGCCACAGCCTGGAACAGATGCAGCACAAATGATTGACCCCTTTCCCTTGGGCGGTTTGGCTTTGACTGCACAAAGCAGCCAATAAAGTGGAAAGGGCTGGGCAGCTGACAGTAGGGATTCGCTTGAAGCTGTATAGCTTTATGGTCTCAGGTAGAGGAGGAAGTTTGCTTAGAAAATGCAATCGCATTCCTCCTTTTGCTGCCAGCTCCTGATGACACATTTTTAGAAGTTGCCAACTACAAGAATAATGTCTATTCACCAGACACAGCTTAGGCTGGAGGCTGTTAGCTGTAACTCCAGTAACTGGAGCTGGAGCATGTAGCAATGCAGGTCATGATCTCCCTTGTCTAGAAGTTCTCTGAGCAGACCCAACTGAAACCTCTGCTGAGATACTCTTTCAGACAAGGGCGAGTTCTCACTGCAGCTTGTCTGCTGGATCTCTTGACCTGCTTTGTGATACATGTAGTATCCTTCTAATAAAGTGGATTTCTTTTTGCCCTTCTGATGGTGCTCTCTTGTCTGTTTTATTGTTCTCTCTGCAGCTGTTTTCTTCAAGGACCTCATGCTATAGTCTCTTACTGATCCTCCCCTTCTCTTCCTTCATCCCATCCAAAACATGCAAGTTGTCTGTGCTTGTTTCTGGTCATTCCTAAAGGTATACTGACAAAATCTCCCTCAGAATACAGCACAGCAGTCAAGTTAACATATCCTGGGGGATGCTTATTGGTTTTATGTTTGGTATTCATTAGCTGTACATGGTGTGACACAAGCGGAGAAGTGTGATCAAACAGCGTCTTTCACTGTAGATTATACTGCCAATAAAGACTGCACAAAACCACAGATGATCTGATGTCCTTCAGTTTAACGGTGAGTGTTGAAGTCCAGCCCCCTTTACTCTTGCTTTATTTTCCATGTGAGTTTCTCCCTCCCATACAACTGTATCTCCTAGCTCCCAGAAATATCCAAAAGAAGGGCAACAAAGCTGTGAATGGTCTGGAGTGTGAGTGTTACAGGGAGCACCTGAGGGAACTGAGATTGTTCAGTCTGGAGAAGAGGAGGCTCAGGGGAGACCTGATCACTCTCTGTAACTCCCTGAAAGGAGGTTGTAGTGAGGTGGAGTTCAGCCTCTTCTCCCAGGTAACAGCAAAAGGACAAGAGGGAATGGCCTCAAGCTGTGCCAGGGGATGTTCAGGTTGGATGGTAGAAAAAATGTCTTCTCAGGCAGAGTGGTGAGGCAGTGGCACAGCTGCTCAGGGAGGTGATGTAGTCACTGTCCCTTGGGGGTGTTCAAGAAACATGAAGATGCAGCACTCAGGGATGCAGCTAAATTGGCGTGGTGAGGATGGGTTGATGGTTGGACTAGATGATCTTAGAGGTGTTTCCAACCTTAATGATTCTATAATTCTATTCTAAGTAGCTCCCAAGGATCCAGCTCTCAGACTGGGACCCTTCTCACCCACTTGCTTCTTTGTTCTAAAATGATTACATTTTCACCTACAGAAAGCAATAGACCTAATGGCTGCGGAGCTGTCACTTCCTGTGAGATATGAAGCCTAGTTTCTAGTACTGGCTCCAGCGAGCACGTTTTCTGAACAGTCAGTTTCTGGATGAAGCACATAAGCAGGAATGCCAGCTCGACTCCCTCATTTCCAAGTAAGTTTGCATTGCAGTGACTACTCTTACTTAGCACTAGTGATTTATTCAATTTGCTTCAAACTACCATAGACTCAAGCAATAAGTTAGGAATCAGGTCAATTTGGACACAAAAGCAAAGTGTAAAAAATAAGAAAAGTGGACGTTATTTGTGCTCTGGAAGGCAGCCACAGAAATTTATCAGCTCCTAGAAGTGCTGTGGCACAATCTGATTCTGCCCCACATAGACCAGCCATTGCAGTAAGCATGCTTCTACTTCTGGCTCTTTTAAAGGTTGGCTGTGGTCTTGGTCCCGGAGTTACTGTGCCTCTATATTTAAAGTATTTTTCCTGACAGTTGAAAGTAATCAGTCTACCAGGAGCTGAGCAAACCCATGCTGAGCCCAAATGTGCAGCAGCTTTTTCTCACCTGCCGTGACTTCTAGTGCTAAATGCTTTTCCAGTCACACTGTGCTCTGCCAAACATCGCGTTTCCTCCAGATGCAGCTCTTCCAACCATGTGTTTAAATCAGTGAGAGTTCCTCAGTGTTTTATATTTTCTTCCTGGCATTCAGGCCATTCACTAAGGCATATAAATAAAAGTGCTGGAAGGCCCCTGTCTGTATGAATGTTGGCTGCAAGTAGCTTCTCAGGATGGTGGGACCTGCCGATTGAAATGAGATCAGTCCCTGTAGTTTAGTGGTGGATAAAACAGTCATGGAGGAAAAATATCCTTTACAGACGCTTGGAAATGGTCTGCTGACATATTTTGTTTAAATCTCAGTGCACCAAATTTGACTCCTTCAATGAATTTCTAGAGGGCAATGCATGGACTAAGAAGTCAAACGGTGCCTTTTCTTGCCTGTGTCTCAGTCAGAACTGTCCTGGGAACCTCAGAGCTGGTGCAGCCCGTCTCCCACGCTGCCCCTTGAGCTGACCTTTATGAACTTGGAGATTTCCAGGCTCTCTACACAACTCACTGCACCGGGTGCCAGTAATCTCAGCAACACTAGAAATCAAGCTGTACGTTCTGTGTTCGTTACCCTGTGACTTGCTGCTTAACAGCTGCAAAACAGACTGCATTTGCATGAATTTGCTGGGTGGGGGTGGTCAGTGGAGGGCAACTGCTTCACAATCTCAGTAATTTTCAGCATTTTCTGCATCCTCAACTGGTTCTCCTGTGATGATCACTTTCTTTAGAAATATTACTGCGAAGCCTGAAAAGATTCAGGTTGCAAATTGGTTTGAATTTCAAGATTTCCCAGGTGAGGGAACTATTTTCTGGCAAAGTCTAGTTGCCTTTTTCTGACATGTCCAGTCTGGTCACAAGTGGAGAAAAGACATCAAGCTACACCCGATCCAGTGCTGTGCTTAGAGTAGAAAGGATATAGCCTTTAGCTTGCTTCATGTGCATGTAGTACAGGTCCAGGACTGATGTAAGAATGCATGGCAGTGAGACCAAGCAGTAGGAGCATTTGGAGCTTGCCAAGTATTGATCTGATCATTCAAATGGGAATGAGCAGAGAAGCATTTCAATTTGGCATCCATGCATGATTCTGATGCTGTCAGAGTGAATTAGCAACACTTTCTTTTCCCTGTAACCCATCCCAGGCTTTTGTCATTGAAGCCTCCCTTTTGTTCATATCTCTCTGTTGAAAGACAAAGTGGAGAAAAAAAAAAAAAAAAAAACAACAACAAAGAAAACCAAACAAATCAACACACAGATCTTGTGCCCCTAAAAAGTCTGGTTATGTTATGCTAGTATCCTCTGAATGGAGACAGTAATACTGAGCCATTGCTGCTAAAGACTGTTACAGCATAAATATAGGGGATTCAAGCTACAGTTATCATTTTGTACAGTCACTTAGTCCACTAATGGGGAGAAACAGGGCAACAGTTTAAGAAGGCAAGAGGACTGTCAGAGATTATTAAATCTACAGAGATGATTTGTTTTGGTAGCCTCTCCTGACCCAAGTACATACTTTGGCAGCAGACTTAATGCCTCTGGTAATTAGAGCAAGAAGTGATGGGTCATCATTAGCAACTGCAAATTAAGCGGTGTATTTCATCTGAAAGGCAGCATCATCTTCAATGGGGCTTATTTGTTACCACTGCAGATCATCTGTGAGTCACAAGCAGTACACTGGGCTAACTCATTTGTGTGATTTAGTAGAGGCTTTCTAATGCGTGCCTACTGTTCCATATGAGTAGCTGTTCCAGATAGCTTCAAAACAGAAAATACCACAATATTGGACTTTCTTGTACAGCTAATACTACTGTTCTTATTTACACAATGCTCGTGATTTTTTTGTTGTTGTGCACTTCATGGTTCAAATGCTTTTTGACTGCATGTTTGAAATATATTTGTCATCTTCATAGAATTAAAGAGTGAAGGAAGGAAAGCCAGACAAGCATAGAAATCGTCTGTAATTGTCAGCTTCAGAAGATACAAGAATCAATCCAATACAACTCAAGGTATATATTCACCAAATACTATTGTGTGGGCTTCCCGGAACCACAATCATATCCAGTTCTGAATGTTGCCAAAGGCCCAAACAGAGATAATTGATTGATATCATAGGATCAATATAGTTGGAGATCTTAGGAAATCCTCAAATACTCTTAGAAGCATATCAATAAGCAACTGAGGGTACAGGTACAAAACAAAAGAGGTACGGAGGAAACTGGCCACAGTGAATGCTGTTAGAAGGTGCTACATGGGCACTGAAATAAAACAAAGGGGGAGTGTGTAATACAGCTGAATAAATTCAAAATAATTTACATAGATCAGCAGGGAACTACAACTGAAGATATTGAAGCCTGGATCAGAAATGCATGTGAACAGCTGGATAAACCAATGGATGCTCATCAAGCAGAAACTGGGGGACTGTCAGTGGTCAGCTAGCTATGTATAAGTGAAGACCTCCTGAGGGACATCCTCATGCCATATTCTTCTCTATAGGGAGAGGGGGCTGGGGATGTCTAGATCCTCTTGGAGAAGTGCTTACAATGGAAAGTGATGATAAACTTGAAGTGTTTTATTGTGTACAAGAAAAATGACCAAACCCGTGCTTTTTGTGTATCTGCCAGCACCTGTGACTCCAGAGAGCTGTCACAAGGAGAGACCTAATAGGTACAAGAGAGTGAGACTGGCTCCTTGCTTCCTAATACATACCTGATGTTCTGGATATTGAAGTAATGTATGGTACTGAGGTTGCTATGGAAGTTATCTTTGTGCATACAGCACCTGAGGGGGCACGAGGGAGTTAAGGTATTAGAGACATATTTTTAGCCAAATCTGACCATTTGTAAAGCTCATTTTCCTCCTTTGCATGCTGTTTGAACTAACTCCGTCTAATACAGCCCTACAAGCCCTTTGCAGCCTACTTGTTTTGGATCCTGTCTTCTATCTGATCTTCCTAGCAGGGCTCTCACACCACTGGCCCCTCAGGTGGAAGACATCCAGTAAGTCTTGAAGCTAGAAATGATGAGGTAGGATTCCTGAAAATAGAGGGCTCCATCTCCCAAGGAGGCAGGTTTGGGAGCCCTGGGCAACCTGGCCTAGTACCAGATCTGGAGGCTGGTGCTCCTGCCCTGTGACAAGGGGGTTGGAGCTTGTTAATTTTTGGGGTCCTTTCCAACCCAAGCCTTCTTGTGATTCTATATGTCTTTTTGAATATTCCCCAAGTCTCTTGGCAAAAAGAAAAAGGCAGCTTTGGTGCCGGGGAGGCACGGAGAGAAGTTTGATTTGTAAATTCTGGGAGATTGGATGTCCTCAGGTATTGGTTCTCCATTAACGTACTTAGCGTTCAGCTCTTAATAAGAAATGATGATCACAAAAGATACACAGCAACGAAAGAGCCTGCTCTGGGATTCTGAGATAGCACCCAGTGCCTATGGATGTGCTGCTATTTGCTAGCTGCTGTGATGATAAAGTCAGTCAAGGGATGTCAAAGTTCAATTTGCAGGGGAAATAAAGTAGAGCGTGCCTTCCCTAGGAAGGAAGCAGCATTGGATCTCATCCATATACTCTATCATTCCTTTCCATGTGCTGATGTAACCCTTTTTTTTAAAAGCCAGCAACCCTCACTGGATCAATAAATCCCGATCAATTGTTTTTCTCACTGATTTATCCATGCAGGGTTGTTAGCTGAGCTGCTGTCAGAAAGTGGGAGAGAGTGTTCTGCCTGTTTACTGTAAAGAAAGCAAAGCAAGCAACCAGGAGGGGACGGGCAGCAGGATATTTACTGTCAATACAGCTGGAGAGAGACAGGAGATATAAGGAGAGAGGAACCGAGATTGAAGCCTGTAACCCAAATGAATGATCAGAGTGTAAAAATACCCACACCGTTTCCGATGGAAAATGTGTGGACTGAAGTCAACAAAGGATAACTGGCAGTGTTTGACAAATGGTTTAATGAAGGGCTAGAGAGGCAGGGAAGTACTTGTGGTGCACAGAATGATAATGCTGTGCATGAACCTACTCAGTCTGGAGTGCAACCTGAAAGGATCTGCCGAGACAAAGCAGTAACTGGGACATTTGTGGGTGTGCCTGCATGCAAGACGTACCGTTTAAGAGTAATCATAGCAAAAATAATAATGGTCAAGTTTAGAAAATAATAACTGGAGCTAATTTTCCTAAGAAGTTGGGCTATTCAGGCCAGAGGGGGGGGAAAAAAAGGCATATTTTCTTGCTTCTCTCTCCATTTCTTCATGCACAGAGGAATTAGGTGGCTCTGAGCTGCTCTCTCTGAGTGTCCCTCCTGTTTCCAGATGCAGGGGAACAAGTGAAGAGTGAATTCACACTTTAGAGAACAGTGACGACCATCTTGCCATGAAACCATTCACAGATGAAGAAGTAGAAATCTACATCCAGAGCAAGGTAAGGCTTTATCTGTCCAGATTTTCTGTCTCCCACACTAGGTGTTGATTCAGAAGGGTGCCAAACTTGACAGTTAGTTGCTTGCCTTCTGTCTTCGTTTTTTGAGACATGACTGGGTGAAGTTTTATGAGAACTGTATTTCTAATGAGATTTCTAGGTTTCTGTTGCAGAATGTTATCAGGGATCTTGGCCGGTAGCCTTGTTTTCTGAGTTGCATGTTCTCTTCTATATCTTCATATTTCCTGAGTTTTTGTTCCCGCTCTCATTTCCAGATGTGAGATGAGCCCTGATCACTAGCACTTAATCTAGGGAGAAGCCCTCACCTCTTTCCTTGTCCAGTGGTCTTGGATTGACAGATACAAGACCAAAGCCGCAACAGCAGGGGCTGATTCTTAAAATGATGCATGCAGGAATTGGGGAGAGGTGAAAACAGCTTGAATTCTCCCATTTTCTGTCACCTCAGCTGAGGATACTTCACACAACTGAATAGCATGTCTCAGTACAGGCAGGTTGGAGATACATTTTCAATTTCATAGAGTTATTCCTGCACTGTGATATTTTTCCTCCAGTATGAAATGAAGTAAAACAATAAAAATAATCAATAAAACTGTACATTCTATGAAAAGGGATTCTAAATGAGCTGTAATATATTGTTTTTTTTAAAGCTTGTGCTTCATCATGGTGCTTAGCTAACTTCTATCTGATTGTCTGTTTTCCATTACAAAATGCAAGACACTGAAATGAAAAATGATTTCCAAGTGGAAAGCTGTAAGTCCTACTTTCAGAAAAGGGTGAAATATTCTAATACCATCAAAGGGCTGGTAACAAATGTTTGGGTTTTTTTTCTATGGAAATGTTTTGGTGACAAGTAATCAAATGCCTTTGAGAGCTTCCATTTTCACCTATTCAGTGTTTTGCATTGGAAGAGCATTCCATCAGAATCTATTCAGTGAGCTATAACAGTGAACCATTCTCTAAGGAGAACTATAAGGAGAACTATAACTATATAAGGAGAGCTATAAAAGAAGGAACGGAGGGAAGCCGTGCACAAGGGAGATGCTCGTACAGCCACCATGTGTACAGAACAGACGTGGAGCCTTGCTCTGAGGCTCATAGAAGCAAATGTTTTACTTTTTAACTGAAAATTTGTTTTCCAGCAGCCTTCCAGCTCTGATGGCTTACTGTTACTAATTTCTTCCTGCAGCAATGAATCTCTGATACCAGTGACTTCTTCCTTAACCCACTCATCCAGCAAAGGAAATATGCGAGTGCGTACTTAGTGCAGGTGACTAGGAAATTGAAAGCAAACTCAAACATTCTTCACAACTTCCAGTCAATCTTAGTCCTTTTTCTTTCCTCCATAATGAAGCCTTAATCAACCTTGTTCTGGCAAACTTCTGAAGTCAACACTTGCTAATGGAAACACCAATAGGTGGTAGAAATGGCTGTCTGATGAAGAACTGTCTCTGACTTCTTTCCCAATGTGCTCATGCTGGTGCTAAACACATTAGATAAATGCCTTGGCCCTTCAGAAACTGCGTTCACTTGCTTATATTCTGTCTTCTGACATTTATGGCTTCCCTTCTGTAGGAAGGTTCTACTTTGCAGTAGCAGACTGGGTAGTTATTTGTAATTAGCTGTGGGTAATACAAGTCTCATGTAATTTGTTCTTCCATCCTTGCCTCAGTGATGAGGACCTACGTGCAGAAGGAGTTGTTTAGTGGTACCTCTCTGAAGTTTTTAGAGTCTGTACTGTCCTAAATACTTTGTGGCAACAGCTGAAGTTCAGCAAGTAGGCAATGAAGGTGCAATTAAATAAGGCCATGCTAGGTTGGATGGATTCTTCCAGGATACCAGAGAGAGAAGGAGGTGTTTCTGACAGGTAGCACTCAAAGAGAACACAGCACGAGGAAGGAGTACAAGGGGCAGTCCTGGAGCTCAACTTGAGCCAACCAACGGTGATGATACACTTTAAACAGTTTATTTGTAGACTCTGAAAGCTCTTAGGGGAAGATAACTTTCACTGTCACTCATAACATTTACTTGTTGAAGGAGCCTTTAGGTGTCTTGTTGAGCAAGTCAAGTTCATTGGACTGCTCTAAGAACTAAGGCATTCATCTGGACTAGTGAAAGAAAGTAGCTATAGCTACAGGTGGATACGTGTATTACGTCTGTATTAGATACAAGCGTAAGGGACTATGTTTTATTACCATAGCAAAAAATCGGGATGCCAAAGGTAGATGAGAGTCTGGCCAAGGGGATATAATACTGCTCTCTTGATGTGTTTCCCTCTTGTAAATACTATAAAGGCTTAGTAAAAATACTGTTACCTATCATAGAATCACCAAAATTGGAGAAGACCACCAAGATCATCTTATCCAACCATCCTCCTACCACCAATATTTCCCTACTAAACCATGTTCCTTAGTACAACATCTAAGTGTTTCTTGAACATCTCCAGGGTAGGTGACTCCACCACATCCCTGGGCAGTCCATTCCAGCACCTGATCAACCTTTCAGAGAAGAAACTGCTCCTAACCTGCAACCTGAGTCTCCCCTGTCATAACTTGAGGCCATTCCCTCTATTGCTAGTTACGTGGGGATATGGGGCTGACCCCCCTCTTCACAACTTTCTTTCAGTCAGTTGTAGAGAGCAATAAGGTCTCCACTGAGCCTCCTCCAGACTGAACAATCCCAACAACCAGTTTTGTTGGCTGAGAAAGGAAAAGGAGTTTATTCCAACTTTCCAATTGCTCTTCCTTGGATAACTGATCCTAGGCAAGCAGTTTTCCATTCTTCGCTTCAGACCTTCCACTGAAATATTTTTTTAATAAATAATTGCACTAATGCTGCTTGAATTGAAGGACTATCTACCAGGTCACACAAACTCCCAGCCCTCAACGGGAGCATCTTTGGCAAGATACCTTGTCAACATCTAAGCAGGGACCCTGTATTAAGATATGAAGATAGTATGGATATTTTCACTGTACTACACTGTTGCCACATACAGTTGCAGTCTGATTAATGCATGAGTTATCTGTTATTCTTGTAGTCTTGCCAGCTCTTGGAGCAAAAAGTAATCCGACTCTGAGAGTGGCTCTGCGAGGGGAATAGCTGGCTGTCCTGGATCAAAATGGGTGAAAAACAAGGCTGCAGTTAATAGTTAGCAAATTCATCCATGTAATTAAATCCTTCTCTTCCATTCACTGCTATGGCGTAAGAATATCAAGTAATCCTTTATAGTCTTGAATTTTGCCTTTCAGTGTTCATCAGAAAGAGCTCCGTGTCATGGTATGTTGACTGTAATCTAAAGGGAACAAGATTTATTCCCATTGCAGCATAGGCACATATGTTTCAGGGTTCACCAAACGGATTGTTCTTACCACTGGAGACAAAGACTGCAGTTATCTCTAATATGAAGTGTCTTTCTTGCAACTGACAGGTGGAGCCACGCCATTATCTGGTCTCCAAAACGGTGGAGGAGGTGCAGAAAATCATCCAGCAGCTGACCGCAGAAATCAGCTATAAGGCCACACGATTCCAGGCTATCTCCAACTCTGGCATTCACAATGAGAATATTAAGGTATGGACAAGAGGTCTAGTGTAGTGTCTGTAGTTTGTATGGCAAACAGTCAGTGATTTTCCATTCTGCAAGTGTATGGACAGGTACCTCCAAGTAAAACACCACGGAAGATATGCTGACATTTCAGTGTGGGGACTGGCTGAGTCATAAGAACGTACTTGTGGGCATCTTAACACTGGAGGTGTATCAGAGAGGGATGGGTAAATGAGGCAGAGTCTCTTTTCACAGCTGCTGCTTTTACAAAGAGACGCTGTTGCCAGAGCTGTCAGTCTGCACACAGAAGCCAAAAGACAGGAAAAAAAAAGTACTGCAGTAACATTAAAAGGAAAAAATGCCCATGCCTGTATGAGCTATGACTCATATTTTTCACAGGTGAAAAACCTGTCAACTCACTAAAAAAAACTTCAGAATGCTTTCTTCTGCTGTGAACATAAGAAGCTTCTTCAGAAAAATATATTGTTTTTTTCTTGGTCATGAATTAGAACTTCTTTTTCCTGGGAAGAAACATGCTTATTAGTGGGAGAAGTCATTTTAGACCATCAGATACCAAAACAACAGTGTCCTGTCCCAGGCGTGACAGGAGACTGATTGTTTCCTTTGACTATTTAACACAGGAGTAATGACTATAAGGGTATAAGTCATAACTGATAGCAATGGCAACTTCAGATGAAAATGATCCTTCTCATCTGAAGTAGATTGCATACTCTAGTTATGTCAACCCATACACTAAAATGCAGCCACTTATGGATAAATGCACAGTGTGTGAAAGCATAAGGCAACTTTTGTAGCTGTCTACGATTGAGAAGGAAGAATTCTGGGTATAAAGCTGCTTGACGGGCATGGGGGTGGAGGCAGAATAGGGTCATCCAGGCTGAAAATTGGCTGTTGCTCTGTGGATAAACACATTCAGATTTACACTGGCAGATGTGCTTGCCAGTAGGAATGACCACAGTGCCACAACACAGTGCCACATCCTGATCCACACCTTCCTTGGTTCTGTGGTCTGCCACCCACCTCTCATACTGGAACAAACCTGTTTGGCTTATGAAGACTGACAAAACCAGGGCCAAGGTAAAATGGCTGTTCTGGAAAACAAAACAGAACAAAAACAAGGCAACCTATTCTAATCGGTAGAATCAGAATGGCATACTGTAGCCTGGTCTGAACACCCTCAGCTTATAAGAAATTCCTGAAACATATTTTCTTAAAAAATGGCAGATTTGTTACTTAACCCAGTGCTATAAGTCAATGACAATCACACTTGGAGGGCTGGCTGACTTTGTGCTGTAGGCATGGGGCAGCAAAGAATGGGTTAATAAGAAAATGTTTTTGACTTGGTCTGTTCTGCTTACAAAAAATAGAATCTTTAATATCGTTGTTGAGATAACTCACCCTAGAGGAGATTTGTCTCAAGGGAAAGTCAGTATATTAACAATTCCGTGTTTAATTTTGCAGCATCTTTTTTTTTTTTTTTTTTCCTGTAAATTAAATTTATGGTGACTTTTCAGAACTTCCAGTTTCTGGTTAAAAGGATTTAACTTGATGCAGAGTGTAGATTTGTTGAGAAACTATACAAGCCTCCTTTTAGATACACAGGGCTACGTGGGGAATTTAACAAAGTTTTTAACACTCAGTGTTGTTTTATTTCTGCAATTCAGGGGCAGAAGGCCAAAATCTTTAAGAGAACTTGAAATAAAACTCAGAAAGACCAAATTAAATAGCTCCCTTTTTTTACAGCTTCCAAGTTGTGGTCCAGTGGTTTTTTTGCAGCCGCCATCTGTGCAGTTCTGGTGCAAAGGCTGCGGAGGCTTCGATAAAGATGTAAGGAGCAGGTTAACATCCAGAGTAATTCCTAGTACAGCACTGGCCAACCACGTTGCCAAGTGGTCAGCTCTGTAATGCTGGCAGGGGAGATTTCTTTCCTTTAGCAAAGAGGCTTGTAGTACGCTCGCAGCTTTTCTTGGTGAATGAATGACCTGCCACATGCTTTCTCTCTGATCTGTGTGATTCTCGTTTTCCTCTCTGCTGCTCTCAGGATCAGCCTGGCTTACTGGCCAAGTGGTCAGCTCTGCTGCGGGGAAAGCGCCCGTTCCACCCATCCATCCAGGTACAACACCCTCCTGGTGCCTGCTTCCTCCTCACCCATCCTCTTCTCCAGACAATTCATCCTCCTAATTTGTCCCCCATAGCTATCTTAGTCTTTCTGCAAGAAACTTTATTTATTGCTTGTATTTCTAACCTAATGCTTCCACTTGCCTGAGATATCCTGGCTGCACTTACATTAATCAACATGCTGCAGGCAGGTTTTTAATGCAACAGGATTGGCCACAGGTTATATGCTGCAGAACCAAACGCTCCTGGATCATGGCCTGTGACTTGTTTGGGTCCTGAAGTCTGGCTCTGGCATGCAAGCCTGGTGTGACAGAGCATGGGTAGAGAGACCTGGGGTTTGTTTAGGCCTTGAGGACACTAGCTGCACAGCTGAATTTGGTATGAGTATAACCTCTCAAAGTGGTGTTGGAGCCTTGTCAAACAGCATACACTTGCATAGGGTCCAGATCTGCATTATACCCCAACACCTTTCTCCTTTTGCCTATATCTGGGCTGTTGTTTACCAGCCCTTCTGGCATGCCCTTTTGATTTTGAGGGGCATGACAGCCACCCCCTTACAAGCTGGTTTTGTTATGGGAAGGAGCATGTCTGGAGCTGAGCTGAAATGGAGGTCCATGGGCAAAGGTGTGGGTAGGAGCCCCAGAAAGCCTGCTTGGAACCATTAAGGTCTTGTCAGTGCCCTCCGGGCCTCGGCACCTCTGCAGTAACATTTTAAATCCTAAGTTACACTGAAGACTATCTATATGCTTGGGATTGTTTCTGGAGAATGATAAGGGTGCTTAATTGACCTTGAGGTAACCACCTTCCAGCCTTTCAGCAACTGCTGTCACCACATCTTGCTCACACAGCTCTTTTACCTGCTTAATGTCAGTGTAAGTAAGGCTTGGACTCAACAGAAGTTGAAAAGCTTCAGAGTCAACATAGGAAAAGTCTGAATGGGTTTGGAAACCAACACCTGCAGCCAAGATTGCCAAATACTTCCAAACCTGGCAATTCTGGCTGTGTCCTGAACCTGTATGAGGTTTTCTGAAATTCTGTGTCACCTTACTCACTCTGCAAATGCCAGCTGAGCGCTGGTTGGAGAATGGTTATCCTCAAAGCGAGGCTGATTAATTGTTTCGCAAACAAGCTTGCTTCTGGGTGTTATCCACTGATCATTTTTCCATCCTTACTCTGCTTCTCGCTTCTGCTCAGTGGGAGATGCAGCCTCATACAGCACTTCCCAAAACCTATTTTTGACAATGCCACTGCCTGTGTAGGCTCAGGCATGTCACTTGCCTTGATGTCTATGTCTCCTCAATGGAGGATAGATATTCTAGTCAGGCAGAGTGAAATGCTTGTAAAATGAATGGGCTGTGGACTTATTCTACTAATGTCATTAGTGGGTTTTGGAAAAGATCCAGAAAGTGTACTTTTGACATAGCTGTGGAACTGTGGAACTCTAGGCTTATCTCTAGTAATGGCTCTGAGTTAAGAACTTGAACTATTTTGCTTCCCATTGCTGAATCTCAGAACAAGCTCTCTGTTGCTCTGCTGCACCTTGGAAGCTCTTAGTTATTACATTTCGTACAATTGCAGACTAGAAATAACAAGGAGTGGGGAAAACTATGGCAGATGTGGTGGCAAACCAGCCAGAGTGTGCTCTTGTCTTCTATGGGCCATGTCTGTCACATCAGACTCCTAAAGGACAATTTCCTCTCACTCCGTGTACCTCCAAGGTAAATCTCAGACAGGTATGGAACAGGTCCTGGATGTGTTCAATCATTCCTATTTTACCATATTTTTTCTTTCCCTTCAAAGCCTCCATTTGCACGTGTTACTTCCTTAACCCTTATGATCACTGATCTGCCCTTGCCTGTATTCCTAATCTCTCTAAACTCTCCTAGGTCTTAGCACCGAGCCAGTTCCTCATCACTGTCCCTCTACGTGGCCTGACTGGGTACAGGGAAAGCCAGGTCCGACACTGGCGTTATTACACTGTGCACGGAGCCAAGCTACTCTCCTCTGTGCGGGATCCTGAGGAGCTGCATCAATGGCTCGAGGTGGAACAGTTCTCAAAAAGCCTTCAGCAGTGGCACGAAACAGATGTGAACATTGAAGGTGACCTGGTTCCAGCCAAAGTCCTTATCGTCTTCCGAGAGCTGGTGGAAAAGTCAATTGTTTCCTGTAACCTCTCCAGTGAGTTTAGTGGGGATGGGTATAAGGGGAACTGGCTGTCTTCTGCAGCTAGCAGAGGGGGAACTACTATGTACACAAAGTGTTTGTGTCATTCACATAATTAGAAGTTAAAAAACAACAAACCCTCCCAATGTCAGGGAGCTTCTAACCCATTGCAGTGGTGCAAATCTAGACCTGCACTGAAGACAGAATTAAGTAGACCTTGAGTTCTTCAAAATGGTGCTCTTCTTTTGGGAACTTGGGTAAGTTCTCCACCAACATCACCCTCAACCAAGATGCAACCCAGATTTTCAAAGCAGTTTGGGATGTGGGGAAAAAAAATCTTTTTTTCTGGTACAGCAGCTGCAATATAACTTGACTAGTCAGAAAGATGCTGTAGGAAAAATTGCATACAGGGTAAAATGTGTAAGCTGGAGAAGTGTTTGAAAATATGAATAAGGCAGGTAATATTCTAGGGAAGACTTAGGTGCCCATGTCTTTCCAGTATGTAGAAGATCTTGAAAAAAAGTCTGTTGAACAAGTGTTCCATGTTCCCCAGTGCCCAGACTATTCAGTAGATATCATGGAAACTTGCTTTCAGTAGTGATGCTGATTCCTCTGTAAGCAATTCCAAAGTGCCTGTGTATATCCTGTGGCAATTTGTACTGGAAGTGCTGACATAATGCAATCAGTGGTGCATGCAACATGCCTTCATAGCTGCGACATCTGCAGCAAAATGCTGCCTAAACAGTGATCCTCATATTTAATTCTTAGCGTCCTAAAGGCATGTTATAGACTGCAGCTAATGAACACATGGCTTCATCCAAGCTGAACGGTTTATGTTCATCTTTTCACAATAAGATACTGTGACATGGTCAAGTTCAGACTACGGTGCTTTTTCTCACATTGTATTTGCAGAACATCTTTACCCATCAGCAGCCTGAAATGGGTCTTCCATATTCTAGAAATATAGACGTATTTCACCTCCTCTGATGACACTCCAAATTTTACTCACAGGAGAAAAGATGTTAAAGTCAGGTTCAGCTAGATGATTGCATTCTTCCAGCAACTGTTTGTTATTACTGAAAGGAAAAGAAGGATAAAGTGTCACCATTGAGGCTCATGGAAAAGATCATATGGAAAGAGCTTTCATCTGAAGCTTTGCTTATGTGGAAGTCATCGTGCTGAGGTGAAAGCCTGCCACTGTGTCTAGCTGCAGCTCATCAAGGTGTTGAGCCAGAATAGGTGCTTCCAAGGGGTGGCTGATGTCTGGGCTGATGATTGTCTTTCTATTTTTCTTAAGGTCAGCTAGAAGGAAATGGAGACAGAGGACATGATCTGAGTTAGGATGCTTTTCTTTTCTCTTGTTTTTTTTTTTTTTAAATGCATGTGTGAAGAATGAACTTAATCCCATGGAACATCTAAAGTTACATAAAAACGTCTCCAGTGTCATTGCTTCTCTGTTTTTTCAATTCTTTGAGAACCAGCAAAAACAGAGTTCTTGCGTTGCCTCACTTGCCATTGGTGGAAAGACAGGCAGCATGGTCTTGATACTTGTGGAAATGCTGTGAATTTATTTAAGTGTTGACAAAGCTATGGCTTTCAGCTGCTTGGTCTCTCTGCTGAGATCTTGGGAGAAGTATAGCTCCTGTTTTGGTGCCAGGCTTGGCTCAGTGGGGAAATAACACCCAGATCTACTGATGTTTATAAAGTTATACTGGAGATGGACTCCACTGTGCTTTCTGGAGGAGATGCTAAATTGCCATTAGGACTAGGTGGATATTTCTTTGGTGAAAATAGAAGTTACCATCCTAAACATTCATCATTATCCCTTCAAGCCTGCTGCATGAACTCCTTTTGGAATTGGAATCCCTAGCCAGCGTCAGTCGTGAGGTGGATTAACACACAATTACTTAATCTGTTTATGGTAATCTGCTCTGTATTTATTTCAGTGGGTTAGAGGATTATCACATCATTGGCTCAAACAGCAAAACTGAAGGAACAGTGATCCATCCAGAATGACAGGGAAAAATGGGGACGGAAACTTCCTCCATGAACACAGTTGGACCAACACTGACCATGTTTAGTTTTTCTTCTGCTCTCATTCCTTTGGGCAGATTGAAATAAGCTTTTTCTTGTATTCCACTTATGTCATTGAAGAGAGTGCTGATACAGCAATGGAACTGCAAGTCTCAATTTGGATACGGGCACAACACAGCCCCTTGCTTGGCTTGAGGAGAGGATCTTTTCACCTTTATCACCTCTCACATTGTTCCTTCACAGATAAAGTGACAATGTTGGAGAGCTTCAGCTCAGTGGTTCGAGTGGCTGTGGAAACATCAGAATTCCAGGTTGAGGTGGAGCTGGCTCCTACAGTGGAGATTCCAACTTGCTGGCCTGAGAAAGCCCGGTGGCCTCGTTGCCTCAAGCGTTGGCCATCTCAGGAAAAAGTGCAGTGCATCAAGGTGAGCAGTGCAAAAACAACTGTAAAGTCTGTGCAGAACTTTACTTTGCAGGTATGTGATAGTGGTTTGGAAGGCTGCAGAGAATATTTCAAATTATTTGGATTTTATTGAGAATTTCTTTTCTTAACGATGGTGAATTCTGTGGAGGGAAAACTGATTTAACATCTGTTGCATGGGTTTCTTGCAAATAGCTTTGGCTATTTAGCTGAGTGCATTTTTTCTTGCTGTTTTGCTTTGTCTCAAGCTTTGTCTCAACCTTTCTGCAAGTGGGGTACTACCTCAACATTTTCCTTTGGCAACAGACCAGTCCTAGTTGCCATTATCCCACACGTCGAGTTCTGCCTTCCAGTCTTGCTTGCTCCCCACTTGCTCAGGACCTGCTGTTCTATGGCAAAGTGCCTGTAGAGTTGTGCCTCAGCTTTAGTAGCACTGTTTGTACCTGGCATCTCTAGAGCTGAATCTCCCAGGAGTAACCGATGTCACCACATGAGGAAAGAAAGCAAATTGCTTGTTCCATCAGGGAGTTACAATGGGAAAACTAACCATGTTTGCTGCCTCTGCTAACATACAGCCTCTCTGTAACAGCCCTCTGCATTGCTCAGAGAAGTCTGCCTCTGATCTGGTGTCACGCTTTCCCTTTTGCCCATAGTCGCTTGGTTTTGACCTCTTGGCCCGCTCCAATTATCACTGGCAGCTGTGCTTCTCCCGTGCTGAGCATATACTCATGGAAGGCCTCGACGAAGATGGTGGTTGTCGCATGAAATGCTTCAGAGTCATGAGGCAGATGAAGGAGGACGTCTGGTGTGCTGGAAATAAGCCCGTCATCACAGCTTATCATCTTCAGGTAGGCATCACCATGATATCCAGATACGGTCTCAGTATCTGTTATGGGGGAATGATGTTCATAATCAGGAAATCTGAAAGACCTGACTGGAAAAACAGCACTATTTTTCTTGCTTCTGGAAACTCCACTCTAACAACTGCCTGTAGATCTTGCAGAAGCGGCGGTGGTGCTGATGGGAGATAACTGCTCTGCAAACCTCCAAGGAGTAGCTCTTAGTAAGCTCCAGCTTGAATTCCTCGCCATGTCTTTTGTTCCCTGGCAACATCAAAAAGATTTTGTGATTATTGCAGTTATGAATAAAATTTGCTCACAATTGAAAAGCTATCTGAGAAGAAATTCCCCAACACTACAACTATTGCAAGGCCAAGTGGAGGGGGAAAACAGGCAATCTAGAAAATAATGCCTTATTTTGATGAAATTCTTAACTTTGAGGAAGCAGAGGAATTGAAGGCCGTGTATCAGCCGTTCAGCCATGTATCACAGCATCTCTTGGAGGTCTCTTTGGGGCACTGAATTTGAAAAAGAAAATTTGAGTTAAGAGAACACTAAGAAACAGAGTGGAATTCTTGCACCCAAGATCAGTGACTTTTTTGTTTTAGAAATGATTTTCAGGTTGATGAAGATGGTCAATACTGCTTTTTTTGGTACAATAACTGTAAGTATATCCAAAAAAATTCTTCACAAACAGAAAAGCCTGTAAAAATGTAATATGGGCAACATGAAAATAATGTTATGAGAGCAATAATCATATGGAATTCATTTTTTAATCTATTGATTTCTCTTTTTATGCAGATAGATCGTGATAGGACAAGGGGGATGGATTTAAACTGAAAGAGAGGAGGTTTAGGTTAGATGTTAGAAAGAAGTTCTTCACTCAGAGGGTGGTGAGGCACAGGAACAGGCTACCCAGAGAACCTGTGGATGCTGCACCCAGAGACATTAAAGGCTAGGCTTCATGGATTCCTGGTTGGTCTTGATTTAGCGGCTGGCAACGCTGCCTATAGCAGGGGGCTGGAACTAGTTGGTCTTTGAAGTCCCTTACATCCCAAGCCATTCTATGATATCACATGAAATAAACTTGGAGGAAGAGGTCATAACACATGCTGTATTTTGTGTCAGAAGAAGACAGGCAAGAGTTGCTTGGAATCCCAGTGTACCCAGAAAGAAAATCTGCGTGCATCTTCAGCACAAGTATGGTTGAAGCTAACAGCTATGCTCATAAGATTATTATTCTCTCCCTCCTTGCACTTCTACACTTCTACACTTATATAATAGGCCACTTTCTACAGCTTAAAACACCTGGCATTTTCTGCAGAGGTCCCTGGCCTTTGCAAATCCTCCTTCCCTGCCTGTTCTGGACATCTGTGCAGGATCCTTGGTATGTCCAGTGAGGTTTGCAAGGTAAAGGAAAAGGGACAGCCAAGGGAAGGTGAAAGGGCTCTCCCTTAAGCTGCTGGTTGTGATCCCTCTGTTACAGAATCATTAATGCAGGAAGACTGCAGTGCGAGGCTCTCCAATTTCCAAGGCTGTCAGCCACTTACCAGCACTCTAACTGCCTTAGCAAGCTGTGTGAGCCCTTAGCAGAACCTTTAACACCTCTTCTTTCCCATCTGCTTCTTGCAGACAGTGCTATTCTGGACGTGCGAAAAATACCCACGCACCAAGGATTGGCGCTGCTTTCACGAAGCCTTCCTGAGGCTGGTGCAGAAACTGCACAAGTGTGTGAGCCAGCACTTCCTCAAGCATTACTTTGTCAAGAACACCAATCTGCTCAAATATGCCAACACCAGTGACCTGGATGTGGTGGCCAGCAAGCTCGCTGTCTTCCTAGAGAACCCCGTCTTCTGCTTGGACTAAGGCTGAAGAAAGCTTCCTCACCTCAACTTTGAGCAGTTTCCCACTTTTTCTCCTCATCGGTGGTGTTCTTGTCCTTCCAGTAGGTGTTGCAGCTGGCTTTCTGAAGCAGTTGGCACTGATGGCATGAACAAAATGTCAAGATTGTGGTGGTGGGTGGAGAAAACTGATGGAAGGCATTGCTTGATGCCCAGCCGATCTAATTTGCTTTCAACAGCAACAGCTTGCCTAGAAGCTACAGCCCATGAAACTCAACCCTGTGCCTGTCAGAGCAGCAACTGCCTTATTCTCTGCCTCCAGTCTTGTGGTGCATAAGTAGAAAAACGGTGCAAAGGAGTCTCACTCTGCTGCCTACCTGCTGTGCAACCTAGCACATGGGTGGTGTCTGCCTCCTCCTTTCTCACAAAGACAGTAAGTTTAATTTGTAGGATCATAGAACGGCTTGGAAGGGACCCTAAAGATCATTCCCTGCCAACCTTGTAGGCCAACTCTGCAGAAGAGCAGAGGAACATTATTTTGGAGGTATGGAAAACGTGGAAGTCTTCTCTGAGACAGTTTGTGATGCTTCCTCCTACAATCAAATGGGGTCCTGCTCCTGTACAAAGATAACCCTGCCAGTAGTATTGAATTGCTCAAGGGAAGCAGGAGGAAGAATGTTTTTTTTCTTGACTCCTCAGTTTTTTTTCTCCTCCACCTTCATTTTTTTTCCTGTTACTTCAAATATATTTTTCTTCACGTTTGCCAGTTCTGTTAGTGCCAAACTAACAGGGGGGCTTGGCCAGAAGAGATTTCGTTTGCACTCCTGGCTCCACCCAGCAGGCTGGAGGAGGAGTGGGTCTTTCCCTAGTTTTAAGCATCCATGTCTTTTGGGGTGTTGCATAGGAGGAGAATATTTTTTCAAGGGCTTGTAGCTTCAACATTCCCACCACTTTTAATATTAAGAAAAGAGAATAAGTTTTAGGGTTTCAAAAGAAACAAGTCCATCAGAAGAGAGGTGGCCAGCAGGACAGGGACGTGATTGTCCCCTTCTACTCTGCTCTTGGGAGGCCCCATGTGCATCCAGATCTGGAGCCCCCAGTACAAGAAAGACAGAGAGCTGTTGGAGAGGTCCAGAGGAGAGCCACAAAGATGATCAGGGGACTGGAGCACCTCCCCTGCGAAGACAGGCTGAGGGAGCTGGGCTTGTTCAGCCTGGAGAAAAGAAGGCTGCAGCCTTTCAGTACCTAAAGGGAGCCTACAAACAGGAGGGGAATCAACTCTTTGAAAGGGTAGATAACAGCAGGACAAGGGGAAATGGTTTTCAGTTGAGGGAGGGAAGATTTAGGTCGGATGTCAGGGGGAAGTTCTTTACAGAGAGAGTGGTGAGGTGCTGGAACAGGCTGCCCAGAGAGGTTGTGGATGCCCCGTCCCTGGAGGTGTTCAAGGCCAGGTTGGATGGGGCCCTGGGCAGCCTGGTCTAGTATTAAATGGGGAGGTTGGTGGCACTGCCTGTGGCAGGGCAATTGGTGATTCATGATCCTTAAGGTCCCTTCCAACCCTGGCCATTCTGTGATTCTGTGAAGTGCTACAATGAGCATAAAGAATGTTGGTTTTAATGTTATTAAATCACTGAAACTACACCAAAGTGCACTTTTTTCTTATACCTGTGAAAGAAAGTAAATAACTATGTTCTTTGCTCAAGATGAGGTAGTAGGGATGAGATTTACAGCCCAACCCCAGGGAGCCGGTGCAGTGAGTGGCCTGCAAGATGGCCATCTGTGGCAGAGCATCTCCCCCGTGTGTCAAACTGTGGTCTTACCATTCACCTTCAGCACAGTCTCTGCTTTCTGGCTTGGTTTTGTATGCAGGAGTTAACTCTTGCAGGAGTTACCTTGCATTTGGGAGCTGTGCTATATGGAAGTGTTGATCCCAGGCTCATGGCTTGTTTGTTATAGGTTCAGGAAGGATTCAGGAGAGAATGAAGATGTCCTCACCCATCCAACTTCTAGGATACAACCTAGAAGACAGGAGAAGCAGAGTGATGGAGAAGAAAGAGGACGAATAATATCTTCTTTCTTGGCTACTCACAGCTTTGTCAGGTTTTCCCACTTGTCTGGTTTTCCCAACTAAGCTTTTCATTTCTTGCAAAGGAATAGTAAAGATATTTTGCAAAGGAAAAGTAGACAGACACAATGCATCCTGAGATCTTAGACAATATTCCTTAGGTTCCTGAACAAGTATGTGTGTTGGTATTAAGTATATTTTTAGAAAATTTGATAACCTGCAGGTGATCAAGTGTTGACCTACAGAAATCAGTGTCTGGCAGAAGGATTGTTTTAGGATAAGTCCAGTGAATGCAGCCATGTCCAGCATCAGCATCTTTCCCTCTTATTTCAGCCTGGTTACCAGTACTTAGAAATCACTGAGGATCAAAATGAAGAGTTTAATTCTGCTAATGCCAGTGGCCATATTCAAAGAAGATAAGCTGGATATTGTTCACATCTCTGATTCCTCAGTGGTCATTGCCTTAAAGAGGTTTTGCTTCCTCATCCCTCACCCAATAAAGGATGTCTTCTTCCAGAATTAATGCTTCAGCCTGGGGGAGAAGGACAAGGCGGGATCTCAATTGTGTGGTCCTTTTTGTGCTGTTCTCCTGCATCAGATCCCACCCTGGGAATGCCCTCCAAGTTGCTTTTCCACTAGTAAATGTGTTGCATGGAACTGTTTTGAACAGGTAACTCCTCTTGCTAAACCTCTGTGCTTCAGGCTTACTTATAAAAGGAGCCTGAGTGGCAATGTCTTGATGACACAGCTTAAAGCACAGCTTCCCTGTTTCTGGTGAGCAGAGCTGTTCCTGTACTTCCATCTAAGGAGCACAGAAATGTCAGTCTACCAAGCACAGTCAGAGGGCTGTGACTAGAAAGTAATGTCTCCCAGTGTATCTTGATTTGTGTTGTGGTTGTAGTGTGTAGATTCTGAAGCTGGAAGAGGGCAAAAGCAGTTTGGAAGGACAGTGAAAAACCATCCAGAACTCTCTATCTCAAATTTGATATTTTAGAGCACTAATGCATGTCTCCCTTTGGGTTTAGTGGAAGATACAACCTCCCTCTGTGGCCGGGGGCAGAAGGTGTTTCAGTGGTGGTACCCTACCCTGGCTGCAGCTGTGTATCAGTGCCCTCACCTGCTGCAGCTCACAGCCAGATAAGAAATGGCATCATTTGCAGAGCTACAGGATGGCAGCACTGTTGCTCTGCCCCAGCCCCTTTAGCTGCCAGGAATGAATCAGCAAAGCCAGCAAGTGAGCCCAGAGAGATGGAGCCCTGCTTGGAGCCAAGTCTGACAACTTTTTTCTTTTTTCTTGCTGCAGGAAATTCCATTGTGACTATTTAAAACAGCAGCTGCAGTGCTACTGACTACAAAGCACAGAACCATCCCTAGCTTCTTCTCCAGAACAGCAAGTCACAGCCACTAATTAAGGGTGAGGAAAAAGGCTTTCAAGGAAGAATTAGTATAAGAATTAGGGGCTGGATACAAGGAATAATTTAATCTGAGGGATGGATGGGAAGTATGATATATACTATCACCTAGTATAGGTCAGGTTGTGGGAATGTTTTTGTGTGGTGGTGATGATAGAAGAGGTCTCTATTTTAAATGTCTTTTGCAAATGTAACTGTTGCATCTTTTTATCACAGTAAGCTTTCTGCAAGCAGTTTTTCATTTATGCTGATTATAAACTCAAGGCCTTACTCTACAATCCTCCTCTGAAGAAGGATATAGCAATGTGGCTTGGCTACAAAATGCAGGGACCATTCCCTTTCTCCCTTCTTAAAATTAGTTTCTTGAGCACTTGCTGGCTCCCACAGGCACTATCGGGGAAAGAAAGAAAACTCTTGACAGGATGAGGGATTCTTTCTTCACTGGTGGGTGCTGGGAGCCTCCTACAGACTCAAGGCACTCAGCACTCGCCACGGGAACTCTGCTCCCTCCAGCGGAAACCTCGATAGGAAATCTGTTGCTCTGTTACGAAGGAAAACCGTGCGAAACTACAACTTTTACACTGCGGTTAAGTCACTAGAGGGCAATCTCGGTCTCAAAAACGCGCACCTCACATTCAGGATCTTGCTCTCAGAATCGGGATCCTGTTCGTTTTCATCGGACTGAAAAGCAAATGATCCCAATAAATCCACCTCTAAATCCCGTTGCCAAAAAGGAGGGAAGGCAAGGGACTAAGGGAGGGCCTTCTAATAAGTAGCAAGGCTCAGTTAGAAGCAAGTAAGTCCGTAAATTCTGGGAACCACTCCAAGGGAGAGAATATGGATTTACTGCTTTCTGCAGCAGGAGATGGGCCGGCAGCAATTCCTAGCAGCCTTGTTTCAGGGACAGCACCAAGAGGCAGGGAGTAGGAGGGTGCTGGGCAGGAGACAGCTACCACCCCACCTCCCTGTCTATGGGGCTGGGCTATGCACCTGCTGATGAGCCAACAACCTTCAGCTCCCTGGCAACTCTCTTTCTCTTTCTCTCCTTTTTCTGCCCCAAGAAATATGTTCTCCAAGCACATCTTTCTGATGTCTTTCCGTCAGTTTGGGTGGTCAGTTCTGACTTTGCATCACCTCTCCTTGACGTCATAGGCACCACGTGTGCACAGTGCCCAGTACAGACCCTGTCCTCATGCTCCTCTTTGAGTTGAGTGACACTGAAGTCAGACTACCTTGCAAACCGTGTTCCTGGTGGAGCAGCCCTGCCTCTCTAGGGCATGGAGAGTTATAAATGAGACAACAAGCTAATTCTGCCTGCTTAGTAGATGTTTCCCTCTCCACGAATGCTAGGGTTGCTGTTTTTAAGGATAAGCATTGCTTTTTTATAGAGTCATAGATTGGCTTGGGTTGGAAGGGGTCTCAAAGGTTATCTAGTTCCAATAGGGCAGGAATAGGGCACCCAAAGCTTCTCTGGGCAGCCTGTTTTATTCCTGGCAGCCTAATTTATTCCTTTTATTCCTGGCAGCTAAAGGGGCTGGGGCAGAGCAACAGTGCTGCCATCCTGTAGCTCTGCAAATGATGCCATTTCTTATCTGGCTGTGAGCTGCAGCAGGTGAGGGCACTGATACACAGCTGCAGCCAGGGTAGGGTACCACCACTGAAACACCTCACGATGCAGGTGTTAGTTCCGTTGTGCTCCAGGAAACACCTTTTGGTCAGAGCTTGGCTTTGAAGGCAACTCCTGGGTGATGAGGAATGCACAGATCCTGCTGGCACCAAGACTGTTGAGAGAGTGCAGGATATGTTTTCCAAGGAAAAGATCCTCTAGCATCCCCTAGAAACCTCACAAATAAAAATTACAAGGAAACATACCAAGGAAAGAATTAATCAGACTGAGAGGCTTTATAGCAATTAGAAGAAAGAATGGCATCTTCTCATCATCCAGCTCTCCTGAAGGGTGATAATTACCATTTGCACAATTCTGGTGTGTGCCAGTTAGAGTTTTCTGGATTAAAATGCTAAATGTATTCTTGTTTCTTTCCTTAGAGAAGCTACTCTTGGACTTGGGCACCTGCACAAGTCAACAGCTCAAAGAAATGTACTTCTTCCTGTCAGCAGGGCAGTGCTTTGCATTGCAGGGCCATCTGATTCCAAGCTAGGAACCAGTTGCCTCTGGCTCATCACTTATTTGCTCTTACCTTGGAGGAGATGGGTACCATTTGTACTGCAGCAAACCAGGCAGCCAAATTTCTTCTGCTGCAGCTTTAGCAGCCAATACAGCACCAGCATGGCTGGTAATGATATGAAAAGACAACACCAATCAGAAGACTATTTTTTTAAAATACTTCTAGCAAACAGAATTTTTAAGGAAATGAACATGGATTCCTGTTGATCCCATTTTAAGCAGGTGTGAAAACCGGATTAAGAGTGATCTCATCGGTCACTGAATCCCATCATCTGCTCTTTCTGATCCTTATCTGCAAATGAACCAAGAGCTGTTTCAAAGGCCTCCAGATACTCAGCCCCTGCTTCTTCAGCAGACAGTTTCAGGTGTGCACAGATCATCGGGAGCTTTCTTTGAACTTTCAGCCCGAATCCATTCAACAGCCAGCATTGTGGTTTTGCACCAACACAGACTCAAGATGCCACTCTTCCTCCATAGGGTTTGCTGCC